AAAGAAAGAAAAACAAAGAAAGAAAAACAAAAAAAGAAAGGAAGGAAGAAAAGCTTTCTACTACTTAGATTTTTTTGCTGCTCATAGAAGAAGCAAACAATACCCTGGAATGTTCAGGTTATATATACAAATATATATTATAAAACTGTACAAGTTAAACAATAGCAATCAGCAAACAGCATTCCTCTTGTAGATTACTATGATTTATGATTTGGCTAGGATAGATTCAGCTGAGCTGAATTTACCTTTGCAGTTACTGTGGGATTTTTCAGAATCTGACAACAGAGTACTATTTTGGTTTGTTCCAATACAAATTTTCTACTGACCGTTTGATTTACTTCAGGAATTAGTGTAGCAATTATATTGTGAGCAGTTTGGTGTTTGTGTCATAAGCCACTGGATTTTTAATATTCCTTCACGGGTTTTTGCTGATACGGAATATTGGTTAAATGAGGGCGTCCATCAAGTGCATGAACAATGAAACTGGATAAATCAATGATTATAGCACCTAGAGGCTGGAATCCCATCTTGCTTTTGATAATAGCTAGGGTGCAATACTCATCTTTGCAGATTTAGTGGGAGGGCTGATATAAAGGGAGGTGATGAGATCAAAGGAATCAGACTACTCATCATACCAGAGGCAGTAGAATCGCCAATCACCACTGAGAGAGTGTGATTGGCCCAAGATCACTGAGCTGGCTTTCATGGATAATGTGGGACTAGAACTCATGGATTCCCTCTTCCTAGGCTGGTACTTCAACTAATTTTCACCTCCTGGTTATGGATCAGGGTTGGAAGGAGAGACCGTCCCTAACCCAACAGCGGGAACATGGAATCATAGAACTGGAAGGGACTAAGAGGACATCAAGTTCAATCCTCCACACACTGCAAGATTCACTACACCCCATCCCCTAATAGATGGCAATTAGAATCTGGTGCAATGCATATAATACATATATAAGTATAAAAAACAAGGAGTATTTTATAAGTACGTATATAAAAAGGAGAACAGGATAGAGTTCATGATGAAATATTAAGATCTGTGGTGCAGTGGTTAGAATGCAGTACTGCAGGCTACTTCTGCTGACTCCCAGCTGCCTGCAATTTGGCAGTTCGAATCTCACCAGGCTCAAGGTGAGATCACTACCATGAGCCTGCCATTTTAGAGAAGAGGCAGGAAAAAAATGCAGGCATAAATAATGACACACGGGCATAAAGCAACTAAACCAACAATAGCCTGGTGCTATAATTTACTTGTTTTCTTAATCTTTCTGGCTTTCTTAAACACTTGTTTGTTTATAATTTCAATGTCTTAGACTAAGTCCCCTGTGCTGTATATAACTTGAATACATATTCCCCTGCATCCATTCATGCACTGATTTATTTGATTTGTATCCCTCCTTTGTGTGTGTGTGTGTGTGTGTGTGTGTGTGTGTGTGTGTGTGTGTG